TAACCATTGCCCACCCTTTTCTTGGAATGACAGCAAATTTTTACTAATAAGAACTAGTTCTCACAACAAACCGGGAAGGGAGGGGGAACAAGTAGAATGTTTACAAAGGGAAATTTTGGGGGATTCAGAACAGAAATTTCCTTGGGGCCCTTCCCCTGGGTGGCTTGGAGTGCTGTTTTTCCTTATTTCCCTATGTTGATAATGGGGACGAGTTTAAGGGGTACCGGGGAAAAAAGGGAAAAATCGAGGAAGGGAAATTCACCTCACAGACACACGCAGTAGGGGGTAAGTGGGATGGGGTCTTAAGGGCCATTTTCAAGGTTTACCCCGGGAGGCCAGACATTCCCAAAACATTTTAAGCTTATGTTTGGTACTGATGGTAGCAAATGTCCCCAAGTCACGTATTCCCCCTCATGCAAATTTGTTACAACAAAACTGCAAAAATTGCGGAACTCACATATTTAAATACCACGGGGGAAACAAAAAAAAAAACCTCTACACTGCACGTCCCTTTATAGGGGCGATGGCTGAGTTTTAAAAGGGGGGAGAGTTTGGGGGTACAGGGAACAGGCCGGGGGAAAATGAGCAATTTCACATTCGCCTTTTTTTCACATAGTCAAAAATTTGGGGGAAAGTTCTGGCAGGTGATGCAGTGCCCGCTCAAAGGGCACAGGGTGAAAGGGAGATTCTCAAGAGTTTCCAAAAAACTGCAATACTCGTTTCAGATTGTTTTCCCCACTCCAAACTTGAGAAATTCTAGCACCGTTCTTGGAGTGGGAAAAACGAATTTTCATTGTGTGGACACCTGGGGTTAAACCCAACCCCCGTAGGAAATGCACCCCTCGTCGTTTTTCCCCCGGTTGGGAAAAACGATGAGTTGTGAGCATTTTGAAGGCACGGTAGCAGTGGATAGCAAAATTCGCCTTACACTGTTTTGTTGATAGAGGCGAAAGGCTGAGGTCAAATGAAAGGCAGAGGGGAAGCAGAGGCCTGTGAGGGCCTTTGCAAAAAGGAAAACTATTTCCAGTGTTTCACTAGGTATATCCTTAGTCACAGCTCGCACATAAGAGTTCTCACAACACTGAAGCTGTCTTCCAACAGTAGGAGTTTTAATGAAGACTTATCAGTCGGGAGAAATGGGTAGGCCTGCGAATTAGTAGGTCCAGATCCCCCCAGCACACGTCTACTCCCCTCAACCACTCAGCCGAGACTGATGGATTATAATAATAATGAATAAAAAAAGCCATAATATGGCGAGAGACAATCGGGAATATTTCGATATAAAATTGTTACCCCTCGACTTCTTGTTGTATGACTTGGTCTTCAATGATAGAAAACGGTGTGTTGAAGAGGATAACTGCGCTAGAACATCAGTTTACTAAGAAATACACCCAAACAAACGCGATTTTTGCGATTTTTTTTTTTTTGAGACGGTGGGCCGGCCGGCGCTCCCGGTCAATATCTCGGAAGTAACTTATTCACTTTACGGTACATAGTCTGCCTTTATTACTTAATTAAATGTAATAATATTCACAGAAATTGTAGAATAATGATTTCTCTAATTAGTAGTTATTCATTTTTGGAAATATTCCAAATACTTTGGGAGTTATGTGGGAATAAAGGGCAGATTTTTTTGCAACATTCCAAGAACTAACAAACTTTATTTTTTTGTGAAATAAAGATAAGTTATTTAGAGGAAAGGTAATAATTACAAATTCATATAAGCAAACAACCTTACGTCGTCCCATATAGGCCAACCATCGTGCCAAAGGGCATTTTCAGTAAATCAGTCCTTTTTCAGTCTTTTCTCAGTTGTTGTTTGAGGTATATTTTTTATAAATATTTTTTACAAAGAGTGAAAACACTTTGTCTTGTACACCGAAACTGGAGGAAATCGGACGGTAAACAAAAGTGCTACATTTTTTTGCTATACAGCTTCCTTCACTTCTGGAGGATCTGCTAGCAGAGACTTATCTGTATCCGCCAGACAATAATCATATAATTACTGGATGGTTAATTCGATGCTCACCCTGGATGTGAGTTATCTTACTGCTATACAAATGAGGAATGGGACAAGTACGTCTCCTTGTTGAACACAGTTTGACGGAGGAATTTCCAAGCTGGAACGACTCCCTAAACCTCACAGGTAAAATGCAATCAACGACATTATCTTTGATAAGTCCTTAATGTAAGACCTCACTTAAAGAGTCGCTGCTTCACTACCTTCAGAGATTCCAGAGACAAGGAGCTTTAACTGAACAAAACTAATAGCTTGTATGTGAATTTTTCTGGTTGCCGGTTTTATATCACCGAGATGCCAAAAGGGTTTTTAAATATCACCGAGATGCCAGAGGGTTTTATATCACCGAGATGCCAGAGGATTTTATATCACCGAGATGCCAGAGGGTTTTATATCACCAAGATGCCAGAGGGTTTTATATCACCGAGATGCCAGAGGGTTTCACTAGTGGTATTGGGTTCAATTCTCTTATTCTTCTTTTTCAAGGCACATAATGAGGCTACCCAAAGAACGGTTTAATTTCTTGTACAATTAGCCCATCAAGATAATTTGCTTTATGTTGTATTTTGTAAAAAAAATATTGATCAAGTAATGTAGAGCAAATAAGCATTCCTACATAAGGTAAATAATTCTCATTCAGCATGCATCACAAAACCAGGTTCAGATTAACACAGCTTTCCCCAATATCTTTTTCCAGCTTTGTAATTTGGGGCAAATTTGGGCACCGGCTTGGAATACTGATGGAAAATTTTGGGAGGTGTGCTGGAAGTGGGAACCATTTCATGGATCACTGTGGACCTTTGTGGTTTTTTTTCCTTGCTGCATTTTGACCCCGGGGTCAACGCTAAGGTAAGGTAATGAGTGTGAACATATATTAGTAATAAAAACACTTTTTTTCTTTCTGAGAGTGTATTCCTAAAATTTTTTCACGGGGACCAGGGGTTGGACTCACAGCATTTGTTTTGATGCTGGTAGTTGTAGCCGTTTTTTTTGCAGGATCAGCCCACGTATTTGGGGGGGCCTTTACTCCCTCTGGCTGCCTTAAACCCCAAACCTTTTAACAAATCACCGTTATCTTCCATAACTTTTCAGTTTTCAGACTCTTACATTTAAACAGTGACGGGGGACCCCAACGACAATTAAACTCTGATGACTTCCCGACACCCCCACCGCCAAGGGTTCGTATCATTTTTGCAAGTAGTTTCCAATTTTTTCAACGAAAATTTTCAAGTATTCATTTGTATGAGTTCATATAATGAACTCTTTTGGAAAGTAAACCCACACTTATTTTTCATGCAACTGCCTTAAAAAAGGGTTAAGAAGAAACATTTCATTTCAATGTACATTACAAGCCATATCTTTGATGTTATTCTTTCCCATCATGATTTTTTTTTGATCATTTAAACTACATTAAACAATCACAAAAACTACAAAAAATTACCAGGACGATTCTTAGAGCCGCTTACAGCAGGAAACAGTTACTTCAGGACAGCTTCTCAACAAGAAACCGTGTCCTAGCGAAGGCATCTTAACTGAGGAACTGGAACAAATAAAAAAATTTAAATAAAAACCTTTATTCACCAGTACATGTACAAGTATACACACCCTAACGACACAAACATACTAAAGTAAAAAGCCCCTTTTTTTCGAGCATTTCCGCAAATTAAACATTTTTTCACTATCTTCTGCTTTCTTCCCATTTCCCCCGGAGCTGATGACCCCTGCTAGTTTAAAAAAGCTCCCAATAAAAATCATAATACGTAAGAAACAAAAAATAATTTGGAATAGATCAGTTATTTTAGTGCTACTTATATTTATGTCAAGCTGAGGTACCAATGTCACGCTGAGGTACCAATTATGTACTGGAACAAGCTGCTGTGTAGAAGTAAATTCTGTTTGTGCCTTTGTTGAACTTTGGTGAATAAAACAGTAATATAAAAAGCATACATGAAGCTAACTTGGATACTCTGGCGCATTGGTTGAGTGACCGGGTTAATATGCTCCAATATGCATTCATGTTAAAAATCATGTAATGCCAGTACAGAACTACAGCACAATGCGTTATTACTTCAGCTGATGTCTGAGGTAAGTAGCAACACACCCGAGGAGCACTAGAGCACTGTATTTGACATGATGTCTGAGGTAAGTAGCAACACACCCGAGGAGCACTAGAGCACTGTATTTGACATGATGTCTGAGGTAAGTAGCAACACACCGAGGAGCACTAGGCACTGTATTTGACATGATGTCTGAGGTAATTTAGCAACACACCCGGGGAGCACTAAGCACTGTATTTGACATGATGTCTGAGGTAAGTAGCAACACACCCGAGGAGCACTAGAGCACTGTATTTGACATGATGTCTGAGGTAAGTAGCAACACACCCGAGGAGCACTAGAGCCTGTATTTGACATGATGTCTGGGGTAAGTAGCAACACACCCGAGGAGCACTAGAGCACTGTATTTGACATGATGTCTGAGGAAGTAGCAAAAACCCGAGGAGCACTAGGGGCACTGTATTTGACATGATGTCTGAGGTAAGTAGCAACACACCCGAGGAGCACTAGAGCACTGTATTTGAAAAGGGATGTCTGAGGTAAGTAGCAACACACCCGAGAGCACTAGAGCACTGTATTTGACATGATGTCTGAGGTAAGTAGCAACACACCCGGGGAGCACTAGAGCACTGTATTTGCATGATGTCTGGGGTAAGTAGCAAACACACCCGGGGAGCACTAGAGCACTGTATTTGACATGATGTCTGAGGTAAGTAGCAACACACCCGAGGAGCACTAAAAGCACTGTATTTGACATGATGTCTGAGGTAAGTAGAAAACACACCCGGGGAGCACAAGCACTGTATTGACATGATGTCTGAGGTAAGTAGCAACACACCCGAGGAGCACTAGAGCACTGTATTTGACATGATGCCCTGAGGTAAGTAGCAACACACCCGGGAGCACTAAGCACTGTATTTGACATGAGTCTGAGGTAAGTAGCAACACCCCGAGGAGCACTAGAGCACTGTTTTGACATGATGTCTGAGGTAAGTAGCAAACACACCCGAGGAGCACTAGAGCACTGTATTTGACATGATGTCTGAGGTAAGTAGCAACACACCCGAGGAGCACTAGAGCACTGTATTTGACATGATGTCTGAGGTAAGTAGCAACACACCCGAGGAGCACTAGAGCACTGTATTTGACATGATGTCTGAGGTAAGTAGCAACACACCCGAGGAGCACTAGAGCACTGTATTTGACATGATGTCTGAGGTAAGTAGCAACACACCCGAGGAGCACTAGAGCACTGTATTTGACATGATGTCTGAGGTAAGTAGCAACACACCCGAGGAGCACTAGAGCACTGTATTTGACATGATGTCTGAGGTAAGTAGCAACACACCCGAGGAGCACTAGAGCACTGTATTTGACATGATGTCTGAGGTAAGTAGCAACACACCCGAGGAGCACTAGAGCACTGTATTTGACATGTCTGAGGTAAGTAGCAACACACCCGAGGAGCACTAGAGCACTGTATTTGACATAAATGTCTGAGGTAAGTAGCAACCACCCGGGGAAAGCACTAGAGCACTGTATTTGACATGATGTCTGAGGTAAGTAGCAACACACCCGAGGAGCACTAGAGCACTGTATTTGACATGATGTCTGAGGTAAGTAGCAACACACCCGAGGAGCACTAGAGCACTGTATTTGACATGATGTCTGAGGTAAGTAGCAACACACCCGAGGAGCACTAGAGCACTGTATTTGACATGATGTCTGGGGTAAGTACAACACACCCGGGGAGCACTAGAGCACTGAAATTGACATGATGTCTGAGGTAAGTAGCAAAAACACCCGAGGAGCACTAAGCACTGTTTTTGACATGATGTCTGAGGTAAGTAGCAACACACCCGAGGAGCACTAGAGCACTGTATTTGACATGATGTCTGAGGTAAGTAGCAACACACCCGAGGAGCACTAGAGCACTGTTTTTTGACATGATGTCTGAGGTAAGTAGCAAAAACACCCGAGGAGCACTAGAGCACTGTATTTGACATGATGTCTGAGGTAAGTAGCAACACACCCGAGGAGCACTAGAGCACTGTATTTGACATGATGTCTGAGGTAAGTAGCAACACACCCGAGGAGCACTAGAGCACTGTATTTGACATGATGTCTGAGGTAAGTAGCAACACACCCGAGGAGCACTAGAGCACTGTATTTGACATGATGTCTGAGGTAAGTAGCAACACACCCGAGGAGCACTAGAGCACTGTATTTGACATGATGTCTGAGGTAAGTAGCAACACTGTATTTGACATGATGTCCTACTTCAGTGTTTTCTTCCATGTCACTAATACGGTACATCAGTCATGTGCAAATATGCTGTTAAACTAATAAATTAAAAAAAATTAATCTTAATTTGTTCACAAATAACCCGCACATAGAAGAGAGGAGCTTACGACGACGTTTCGGTCCGACTTGGACTAATTACAGTCACACTAACGAGAAGGAACGAACGAACGAACAAGTTCAGGTAAGATCCCAAATGTGATGAGCGGGGAGGACGGGACAGACGAAGAATAGTGCTGGAGAGGAGTGTTCTTCTGTTGAGACTCCGGTGGGTTGAGCGGGGAGGACGGGACAGACGAAGATTAGCGCTAGAGAGGAGTGTAGAACTGAGCCATGTCTTAATGCTTCGTGTCTGTCTCCTTTTTTAAAAATTGGGACTACATTTGCTGTCTTCCATGCTTCAGGTAGTCGCCCTGTTTTGATAGAGGTGTTGATGATTGTTGTTAGTGGTACACATAGCGCCTCTGCTCCCTCTCTCAGGACCCATGGAGAGATGGTATCCGGCCCCATCGCCTCTGAGGTATCTAGTTCGTTTAGCAGCATCTTCACTTCATCCTTGGTTGTATGTATTGTGTCCAACACTTATGGGTTGTACCCCACCTTTCTGGAGGCCCTTGTCTCCTCTGTGAACACTTTGAATCTCATGTTGAGCTCCTCACATAAATTTAAAGGGCATTTTATGTGACCTCCCCTCCTTCCTTCCTCAGCCTGATTACCTGGGTTTGACTGCTGTTGTCCTCCAGATGTGGCTGTAAAACAGCTTTTGGGTCAGATTTTTCTTTTGCTACTATGTCCCTTTCTCGTATTGTCTCTGGGCCTATCCTTCTTACCTGTACATATTCATTTCTGTCTGAACGACTGCTCTCCTTATCTCCTGGTCCTTTGCCTTCTATACTTTTTCCATTCCTTAACACACTTGGTTTTGGCCTCCCTGCACCTTTGGGTGAACCATGGCTCGTCCCCGGCTTTTTCATTAATCCTGTTACCCCTGGTACAAACCTCTCCTCAGCCTCCTTGCACATTGTTTTCTAAAATATTCCATCATCTCATTAACGGCTTCCCTGCCAGTTCTCTGTCCCACTGAACCCCGTTCAGAAGTTCTTTCATTACCGCGTAGTCCCCCTTCTTGCAGATCGGCTTCACTCGTCCCGGCTCTTCCTGCTTCACTCTCCACTTGTAACTCTACTATGCATTCGAAGCTCAGAACCACATGATCACTGGCCCCCAGGGGTATTTCATATGAATGTCCTCAATATCTGCACTGCTCAAGGTGAATACTTGGTCCAGTCTCGCTGGTTCATCCACTCCTCTCCTCTCTTTCTAATAGTCCCTTACGTGTTGTACTTGAGGTTTTCAGTACCAACTCAATCATCTTAGCCCTCCAGGTATCTTGGCCCCCATTTGGCTCCAAGTATGTGTGTGTATGTGTGTGGTGTGTGTGTGTGGTGTGTGTGTGTGTGTGTGTGTGTGTGTGTGTGTGTGTGTGTGTGTATGTGTGTGTGTGTGTGTGCATGTGTGCATGTGTGTGTGTGTGTGTATGTGTGCATGTGTGTGTCTTTACTAATGTATGAAGGTGACACTGGGTAGATTATTAGGAGAGTTTACTGAATGATCAGAGTCTTAATGTATGAAGGTGACACTGGGAAAGGGAAGACTTGAAAGAGATATGAGTCGTGGGAAGACTTTAGAGAGATGTGAGTCAGGGGAAGACCTGAGACAGATGTGAGTCAGGGGAAGACCTGAGAC